CCAACTGTTAAATAATAGGCTATACAAGGGGATTAAAATTCAGGACTATGTAGTTCGGCTACTGCCCTTAAGATCACCGGACTGGGTTTGAATCCTTGTTTTGCCATTAACTTCTTCCCTGACACCAGCAGTTTCTAATCTCCCAGAGACTCATTTTTCCAATGCCTGGTACACAATAAAGAGGAATTAAATTGAATATGTAGAATGGGGCTAATTCTCATTGTCATGCTTCTTTGTCAGGATTTTTTTGAGGCTACATGGGAAAATATGAAAATATTTGTAATACATTGAGCATAAAACCAATGCAAGCCATGATGCTATTGTATGTTTGTAACAGGTTGAACCCCAAGTACCATAAGCCACCTTTGCTCAACCTGGTCTCCCTGCTGGGAAAAGGAGAGTTTGAGTAACACAGCTCCTTTCTTTTCCACAAAGTCTTAAGGGGGATATCGATATTCTCCCTAACTTCTAGAATAGTTACCTTAAGCCAAACCTCTTGCAATAAGGATTTACTGAAATGTGGGATGGTGTTTATTATATACTCATTCTTAGAGCATTTTGTCAGCTTTGTAAGATAAGTTACTTTTTAAAACCTACTTTACTTTAATATGAAAAAAACACTAAAGCCTCAGTATTTGACACAAGGTCTGAAAACAGCTCAGAACATCGTTTCCCAGAAATCTAGGCAGGAGATTGGCTTTAAAACTATACTCTAAGGAACATGACAAAATGATATAACCAGATGTGACATTTCAATTCCACAATCATGCACCATTCAGGTGGCCATTTCTGCTTTCTGAGAACTGATATATACTCATCTGTACAGGAAGGAACTTACTGTGGTGACATACAGTAGCTGGTTGATTCCTTTGGTCTGATTTTCTTGCCATTGTGTCATTTAGCATCATTAGCAGTAATGTTACTTCGAAAGACATTCAGATTCTCATTTTTCACTTAAAGGTGGGTAATCTTGTCATACATATTTCAGTAGAAAAAATACTTAAAAACATAGCCATTGATAAGCTTGGCCCCAGTCTGTCTGAAAGTGCTCACAACTGCTTGCAAATGTATAGGAATCGATGCTGGTAATCTCTGATTTATAACATGCATTGATCCTGGCCATTTTTAGAGCTTATTTTCTCTCTCTCTCTCTCTGGCATTTTCTATGTGCAAGAGAGATAAACTGTAGTACAGGCAGAACTCTCCAGCTGTTCTAGCATCATAGATTCATGGCAGTAATTCCATAACTTCAAATGGGTTTTGGAGGCAAATAAAAAACCCTCTATGACAGTCAAATGGGCAGAAAAGACTAGGGTTTATGGGGTTTGGTTTATCTGTTTCCAAAGTAAGACAATATAGAAGCTGTCCAGGTGTATAAACCGGTTTGTCTTACCCATCTCCATCCCTCTAACTTCCATAGCACATCGTCTATCGGGATCTTGGACACTCTTGCGTGGTGATTATGAATTTGGGTTCTGGATTTGGATTCAAGCTCTATGCCCTCTGCCTACTAGTGAGAATTGGTAACTTCTTCAAGCCTCCCTTTTCTCACCTTGTGATAATTAAATCAGCTCAACTCATAGTAGAAACCCAGTCAATATCAGTTAATATTATTGTTGCTATTGTTATCATCGCCATTATTATCCTGTCACTTCTCTACACATGCATCTTATTCTCTTATTTGTGCATGTTGTATAAAGTCACATCCTATATGACTATAAATTGAGATAGGAATTTGTTAATTTTGGATGTGAGCTAGCTTAGAAGTATACCTGACTTCTTCAAACTGCTTGAATTTGTTCATGTCAGCAGAATATGGTAACGTTGTTGCTTCAGACTAAAAGTTTGACTTGGAGAATCCCATATTACTGAATTAAAAAAATGTGTGTTGTTACAAACAAAACAGCAAAAAAGAATAGATGATAACTAGAAAAAGTTGCCCAAGTAATGATCAGTAACCATCTTTCTCACCAAATAGGATTGGTTTTAAACTAGTACAATTATTGTTAACATCTGAACAAATGCTTTTCTAGTACTTGAAAGTTTTTAAAAGTATGAGTCACCCTCTTGAGATCTTGCACACACTGTGAATTTGCTTAAACCTGCTCTTCACAAATGGTATAATAGCACATTCTTGCTTCCCCAATCATGGCCTTATCATGGTAGGATTTGAATTGATGAGGTTTGTTATTTGCAGCTACAGTGTCATCTTAGTGATCTACATGCAATCTGCCTTTGTGACTCCTATGATTAAGGTTCATTTTAAAATTTACTTTCATCTACTAAGTAATGAGCACATCAGTTTTTAATATCACAGAATCTTTCCTCTTTTATTACCAGAATTATCTCTCCTGTTGCCCCTCCCCCCACGATGTAATAAAACAAAACCTATCCAGTGTATTACACAATTCAAGATTTCATTATATCCCACTTGATGGGAAAGACTATTTACACAGAGACAAAATAGCACTCTTTTACCAGACGGTTTTACATGAGTAGAATGTGGTTTTATATAACAAAATAGATCTTTTCCCACTAGTTGTGTCACCATTTTTGTCTGGAAGTTAGGATATTTCCTCAGACTTTAGAACTCTGTGACAGTGTCTACATGTATCCAGGAATGAATGTGTGTGTGTTGATTTTATGGTATATGCATGCCAATCTCCTTTTTGTACCTATCACGGAAGGGATGAGCCCAAGTGACTCTGATAAAGTTTATTTAAAACTATTAAAACTATTAGCTCCAATTTGAGATAGAAAAAAAAAAAGAAAAGAAAAAAAAAGGCATCTACTGAAAGGTCCAAGTTCTGCTTTATTACTCCTCTTTTTCCAAGTTAACTTATTTAAGTGCTGCAAATCTGAACTTTTTTTCGTCCCTTCAGACTTAACCACAAAGTTCTAAAAATGGGGATTTCTCCCAGTTACCCTTCAAAATTTGCTTAATGTTCAGGTCTTTATAATATATAGATTATATTTCAAATCTGTAAAATGTATTTTATTTACACACTCCTAAAAGAATTTTTAAAATCTATGTTCCTACCTGTGTAAAGTTGGCGTCTACTTTTGTTTTTATTAAAAGTTTAAATAGTTGCAAAGAATGTCATTTCTGGCATATTGTAAGTACTGATATTTAAAAATATAGTTATCATATCAATTTTTAAATGTATCCAGTGGAATAGTCATTTTACATTCTCTATCACCCATTAACAAATTAATGACCAAGTTCTTCTTTAACAGTTGGAAATTCTACATATTCCTTTTGTTCTCTTTGAACTTGTATTTCCATTATATTTTTCTCACCAAATTATAGCCCAATATAATTTTTTTTCTAAAAAGCATTATATTTCTTTGCAACAAAAATATGCACAGAAATTTAAATTGCTTTTTAATTACTCATGACCCTAAGGTGTTAAGTATTGAAAATTTCTTTTCAGATAGGCAATCATTACAAATGTTACTAATGCACCATTGTTCAAAACAACAAAAATATATTATAAATTTAATAAGTTAAAATTTTGTTGAAAACTTATGTTTATTAGATGGGCTGTTTTTCTTCAATTAGGGTGTTTATATATATATGTGTGTATATATATACACACACACATTCTTGACAAATATTATTTCTAGAATAGAGCATGATTCAGCATGAACTTTATTTCTATTTTTCATTTTATAAATGTAAATGCTGAGAAAGCTTGCTTGTATAAATGAGTAGATGGAAATGGATGGACTTTTGTTACAGCAATGTCATTAATTTCTTTCTTTCTGAGTTATATACTCCAGATTACATAGTAATCTGTCATCAAAAATTATTTTTAATAATCTATCAACTGATGAATAGATTAGGACTTTTAATTTTAATGAAAGCAAAAAATTGGAAACTTCCTTATATCCAAAAAAGTACACTACACCAGACATTAGAATCACTCACTTCTGTCAATACCAACACCAATATTTCAAGTGATCTATTTTGTTTTTGCCCCAAATGTTTTGTATTTTATAAATGCACTGTGTAGTAATATTTGGGGTGGCAAAGAATGATGCTTTTCTTTTGTAAAATGGTCATAAATGATTAAGAAAGAAAAGAGCAAGATATTTTCAGATGCAGGGCATTCTCAGGAAGATAGATTTTAGGCAAACGTACATGTGAAGGTGGGAAATTTAAAATTTATTTTCTTAAAATTAACCATGTCCACATACCCCTCTGAGAGTTTTTATGTCCTCCTTAGAGTATATGTGCCTGTGTTTGGGTATGCTGGGCTATATTGATTTCACCCGTATGAGTCCTTGGACCATTGTATAAGGCAACAGAAAGTGGGTGGGGTTGGGGGGTTGGTAGTGGAGAGAGAGAGAGAGAGAGAGAGAGAGAGAGAGAGAGAGAGAGAGAGAGAGAGGGACTGAGAACTCCATCTTCCAAATAAAGAGTTCTGTGCCCAGTCTGCCATATACTATACTAAGGGAATAAGACATTTCAAATAAGTACAAGTCACACTGTCTAAAGAGCCAGTGAGAAAAATGGTTGACTAACTTCATAATGCTGGAATTATAAACAAATTCACAGCAAGTCTTACTTCCAAATAAAGAGTTCTGTGCCCAGTCTGCCATATACTATACTAAGGGAATAAGACATTTCAAATAAGTACAAGTCACACTGTCTAAAGAGCCAGTGAGAAAAATGGTTGACTAACTTCATAATGCTGGAATTATAAACAAATTCACAGCAAGTCTTACTACTCTTTCCTTGATCTCATGAGATTTCCAACCGTTTGTTTCAAAGGGGTTTCTAGCAAGTCTTATGATACTTTTCCAATGTGGGGGACACAGACATTGAAAGACATCATGTTTTTGTTATTGATTAGAGAGATTTAGATGAAAAAGAAGACGATTTCCTTTCAAATCTCTGTCCCGAAGGCTCAGGTAACTCCAAAGCCCTTCAAGCATTATTAGTAAAAGAAATTAGAACACAGAGAAAAAATTATTTCGCAAAGAAAACTACTTACAATGAGTGGGCCCCGGTTATTTTCCCGGTACTTGTTTTGAAAGAAAATGTAAACGACCGTGGCGGCCAAAGAGTAGAGGAAGGCGAAGACAGCGACAGTGACGAAGAACTCTGCCGAAGACGAGGAGTCGCCGATCAGTGCCAGCTTCTGCCGTTCCTTCCCCTCGCAGGTAGGCACCTCGAACGTCACCTGGTGCAACCTAAATCGCCAGATTGAAGGAGACACTCTTTAAATTCTATGGAGAGAAAACTAGATGCCTCGTGTCCATATCTTCTAAAGCAAAGGGAGGTTGATTTGGGAGTTTTGTTCATTAAATTCATTAAAGAAATCACAGAGATACAGCTAGAAATGTGGACATAAAATTGCGGTTGAACGTTATTCAGTTGGTTATCACAATAGCTAGTCACCCTAGAGAGAGGGCAACAGGGAAGGGGAAAGGGACCCTGAAATGATGATAAGGTAGACTCTGACAGCCCCTGCTTACATTCTCCAGTGCTTTCTCTCTTTAACATGGCCCACAGGGCCTTATGTCCTATGCTCCTGGTGGTGTCTCCAGCCTGCTTTCTGTTTCTCAGTTATGCCAAGCACAGTCTCTCTCCTCTCTTAGGTCTTGTCATTGACTGTTCTCTTTTCATAAATCACTGTGCTCCCTGACGTTTCTTATGGCTGCCTCCTTGGTTTCAGTTCAAACATCTCCTGAGGGAGCCTTTTCCTGACCATTGATCGAAAGTAGCTCCTTTCCTTAGACATTTTCTATCACATCTCTGCGTTTCATGGCATTCATAGCACTCATCACCACGTAAAGCTGTCTTGGTAATGTATTTGATTATGTGTTTTTGTTGTTGTTGTTGTTTCCACTGCACCCTCAGCAGAGAATATCATATCTCCATAACACTGGGGATCTTGGTTTTCTTTTTTTCTGTGTATCCTGACTGCCTGAAGCTTTTTAGGCATTCAGTAAATAGTACTTGGATAAATGAATGAACATCCTTGATTCTGTAAGATGACTGTTAGATCCTAATTTGATTGAAATTTTAGAACTTCTGGTTTAGTGAGTAAGTCCCATCAGGACAGCACCCAGGTTCAATATTTTACTTGATGGAGACAACTTAGTTATTTGGACGATGTTTTCTGCTCAGTAAATGACACCTAAGGAAGATGTATTATATCCAGAATGGTAGCTCATGGTGTGAGCTAGGACTAAGTGATGAACTGTAATTTAATATAGGAGCCAAAATAATTCTTCAGAAATGACTATTAGGAAGGCACTGGAAAATAGACATGAATGAGACTTATTTATGTTAATAAAGTACCACTTGGAAAATTATTGATAAAAGTAACAGCACTGTAAAACCATTGTTGAATGTGGTAAATTCCAACTTACACTTAGGAAGTATTTTTCTGTCTAGGCAAAACTTGATCCCTTTAAAACAGATTTATCATGTGTCTCTTCTTCCAATTTAGATGCTACTAACAATGGTAAAATAATAATAAAGATAACATATTAGAACATTTCTTATGTGCCAGATATTGTGTTTTGTAAGCATTATTTCATTTAATTCCCACAATAAGCCCTGTAATGTAGGCCCTTCTTTGCTCCCTTTCCCTTTACAGATGGGGGAACTGAGGCTTAGAAAGAATAAGTAATGTGTCCTAAGCCACATAGCTAGTAAATGTTACGCCAGGGATTTAAATCTGCAGATGACTTTAGAGCCTGATTTTTTAACTTCTGTATGAGCCTGTTTATGTTCAATAATGAGGACATTAATTAAGATGAAAGCTTTTTTTTCAAAGTGAAGCTAGTGGACCACTGGCATTAGAACTACCAGGGAACTTGTTAAACGTGTATATTCCCAGGCCCCTTCCCAGACCTACTGAATCAAAATCTCTAGGAGTATGGTTTAGTTGACAGTGAAAGCAGGAAAATCCAGTACCCCTAAGTTTCTTGTTTCTCAAAAAGTACAATTTTTTATTTACTGCTTGACTTAAGAAAGAACGATTTACATACTCCATTTGATTTTGCTTGTGGATATTAAGATTCCTCACAAAGAGCCTTTTTCTTAACAAACATAAAGGTGTACAGCTTCAACAAAATCCGGGAAAACAGAAGCATTTGTTATTGTGTATTGCAGAGCTCCTTTCCTACCCTCTCCAGTGATATTAAAATATTCCTCAATAGTTTGGATGGTGGGAATACTGAAAAATGAAATAGATTTAAAAGGTAATCATGTCAATTATATACAGGTGATTTTTTCAGATAATGTACATCTTTTCTCATTATTCTTAATATGTTATTTATTTAGCACATTTATTATAAGCAACTTTATATTTCACACAATATTAGATGCTAGAGATAGAGTGGGGAACAAAGAGGAGATGGGATGGTCCCTGCCCACACTGAACTTCAAGTTCAGAGAGAAAAGATAGGTTTTCTGAAAGAAATCCTAAGCTAGACTGGGGGTAGGGTGGTCAAGGTAAGATTCCCTATCAAAGTGATTTTTAATCTGCAGCTTTAAAAATGAGTATAAATTATCCAGATCAAAAGTTAAGAAAGAAAGCACGGTGAGTATACCACTTCATACCCACTAGGATGGCTATCATCAAAAAGATTACAAAATTGGAATAACAAGTGTTGGCAAGGATGTAGAGAAATTGGAACTTTCATTCATTGCTGGTGGGAATGTAAAATGGTATGTAGCCACTTTGAGAAACAGTCTAGCAGTTCTTCAAATAGTCACAGAGTTATCATATGATCAAGCAATTCCACTCCCAGATACATACTCCAGAGGAATGATAACATTTGTCTACACAAAAACTTGCACAAGAATGTTCACAGCAGCATTATTAAGCAACTCACATGTCTATCAACTAATAAATTGATAAAGTATGGTATATCCATACAACAGAATAAAGTACTGATACAAGCTACAACATAGATAAATCTTGAAAACATTATGCTAAGTAATCACATTGTGTGATTCCATTTATATGAAATGTTCAGAATAGGCAAATTATGAAACAAAATCAGGTTAGTGTTTGCCTAAGTCTGGGGGGATGGGAGAAATGGAGTGATGGCTAAGTGGATAAGATTTTCTTTCGGATAATGACAATGTTCTGGAATTGACTGTGGTGATGGATGTACAACTCCAAAAACACACTAAAAGCTATTGAATTGTAATTTTAAATAGACGAATTGTATGGGATGTGCATTATATCTCAATAAAGCTGTTGGAAAATGGGAAGAAAGAGCATGTACCAAGCCCCAGAACAGGCAAGGAGCACAGCACGTGGCGGAATGAGATGTGGTTTGAGAAGCTGAGTGATGGCAGGAGAGGGGATGGTGTCGCAGGATGAGATAGAAGAGTAACCAGGGGCCCTCACTGAGGGGCCTTGTGGGCCACATTATAGATTTTGGCCTTTATCTGAAGACAAAGATCAGAAAGATTTTCTTAGAATAAACAACATGTAAAGCAAAACCATGCCACATGTCACAACTTTTTGGAGACATGCACACTTGCTTTCCAGGGGCAGGATGCATGCCAGGATCAGCATGTCTCCAACATGCCAGTTCCCTCAGCTAACAAGCACAAGCTGGGTCCGCAGTATTCATCTGCAGTGGGGGCAGTGGGGAGGGAGAGAATAAAATAATTGTTTTTCTATGTAATCAGCTGAGTAGTAACATTTTCTCCATTGCTAACTTATTGCGGTGACTTACATGAATTGTTAATCGTGCTTATCTTTATAATGCGAAAAAAAAAATCACCCCAAATCTGCTATGCTTATTAACACCAATAACCTATAGCTCGTACTTAGCCCACCAAGCACACTGGGGTGAAATCAGGAGAAAGAGGGAAAGGAAGTAAGGTTATAAACTAGTGGCTAATCCTTGGAAAGGGGTGGGCAATAATTTATAAAGGAAGAGCATGGCAGCTCAAAATAGTCTGAGTGTAATAAATCATATCAATAAGAATTTTGCATGCTATATGATAGTATACATTACTAAACATATATGTATATAAACAAAATGATTCTGTTAAGCAACAGTTATATGTGTATAAATACATACATATTTTGTATTTTGGAGTGGAGAGTTTATAGTCAGCCTGTGTTCTGCAGCTGCAATAACTTTGGAAGTAAATATTCATTTAGAACCTACACAAGGAAAAAAACGCCGTGTACTATACAGACAGAGCAGGTCGGATGAAGGGATCTGGAAGATGCAGCCACCTCTGATCTTGTGGAGAACTAGTCAGGGAGCAATTGCTGAGGCTGCAAAAGGTACAGAAACCAATTTATTGATTTCAAATGTATAATTCCCTTCTCAGCTGACCTGGCCCAATCAAGGGGTAATTGAGTTTTATTTCATTGTGTCTACCAGCAAAAGGCCTCCATCATAGAGCAGTTTCTTTAAAAAAAAATTTTTTCTTACCAACATTTAAACAGAGCCTTTAAAACATTTTACTGCTGCTTCAGTTAAACTAAAGGAGCTGCTGAGCACCCACAGTTGTGTTTGTAAGTCTTGGAAAAATATTAAATGTTACTATCCCTTCGGGGAACTGGAGAATGACAACTTGGTGTTGCTTTATTGAAAAATGTTTATAATAACAACCACCAACATTTTTCAACCTCTAGGCATCGTGCTAGGTTCGTTACCTTCTCGTATCTCACTTAATACTCATAACAAGTCTCTTAGGTAGGAGCTATTACTATCACCATTTTACAGATGAGGAAACTGAGGCTTGGAGTGGGTAGTGAGCTTGTCTGAGGTTATGTGGTTACTGGATGGCAGGAATGAGTCTCAAAGGCAAGTAGATTAGAAGCCTACACTACTATCACACATTTTTGCCTCTCTGCTTTAAAAGCTACAACATCGTAAGATTTCCAGCTGAATGCTTGTACAAAAATGACCAAACCAGCTTTCCCATGCCATCTTATCTAATGGTAGACTGATAGGATTCGAAACAAACATTTGTTCTGCTACTGCCTGGAAGTGTGTGAATTAGGCATTGTACAAAGTAGCCCGAAATGATAGAGCTGAATCCCCATAGACTGACCAATAGCAAGTCATGAAAAATTTCCTAGTTTTCGAAACTTGTCCTGGGTTATTCTAACATTTGTTTTAGAACCTAGCATAGGGCAGTTGAACCCAACTATGTCATTTACCAAAATTGTGATCATCATAGAGTGGTTCTTTATAGT